GAGTGGACACAAAATTATTCAGCAGGAAGATGTATTTCCATAACAAGGATATGTAAAATGTCTGTGTTATTTTAGGTATGAGAATTTTCCAAAACAGAAAAATGCCTTGCTGAGGACACAGTAGACTCCTCTTTGCCTTTTCTTTGCTGGCGTTAATTCTATAAAGTCTTGTCTATTGGTACCATAATACATAATCATAGATAATAAAAACGCATTAGGCAGTTAACTCATTTCAAAAATATGAGCATAAGCTTAACGGTCTATGTTTTGAAATGATTAAAATATTAAAATATAAAACAAAAATAATCCGTCTTTGTCTCAAAATAAGCTAAAAGGTTTATTTTTTTCACAGCTCAGCACTACTGTAGATTAGATAAAATGTCCTTTTGCAATACAGCATGATTATTTCAACATTACAGTGGAAACATAGGCTTTAGTGAGCATTTTAAATAATGGGAGCTCAATTGAAATACAGAATATATTTAAAAAGCTCTGATAAGACACAAAATTCAAGTTAGATATGGAAATGCATACATATGAAAAAGCAGCCTCTTTTTGTTTCATTTATACGGGTTGTCGGTGATCGCAGTCACTTCCAGTTCTTCAACAGCAGGCGTCCGTCAAAGTTTATTTTTGACCACTCTGAATCTTCACAGGCTCATATAATTCACAATGAGAGTCGGCACTCTGTCAATCGTTATATTCGCTTATTTTATACCGGTATTATTTAATTAACTGATTTGTATGAAGTGTCAGAGCGAATTACACTGCTCACTCCAGTTGTCTGTTTATAAGCCTCCGTGGTGTACAGAGCTGATTATTACAGCGTTCGTCGGGGCTAAATGAAAGGGGAAATATCTAAGATGTTTTCATAATGAAAAAATAAAGGTTTAAAAATGTAAACACTTTGACTTCAAATCGCATTTTATTCTCAAAGAGACAGCGAATTAGGAAGTGACGTATTTCAGCGTCAGCCTCTTCCGCTCTCTTTTCGTTGAGGCTCAGCTAGCAGCCGGGTGGGTAGAACGTTTTGTTCAGCAATATTTAACGTTTTTAAGATTATAATAAATGTTTGAATTTGACTAAAACAATACCGCTTTCATCCTTTAATGACAGCATGTATGTTTGATGTAGTCTTACATTAGTTTCAACGAATAAAATTGACATAAATTGTGATTAAATTCCACGCTGACGATAAGCATGTGGCAAGGCCTGCAACGAGCCTCTTCTGCTAGCGCTTGCTAATGTAATGCTAACTTACCAAAAGCGTCGACAGTCGGTAAAATGATGAAAAGAGTTTATTTATTAGGATAAAAGTTGCGAAATCTTTTATGATCTAGCTTTATTATTCATCTCGCAGGCGATTCGGTTTTTACTGTGGTCAGTCAGCGAGCTAAGTAGCTACACGGCTAAAAGTAAAGCTAACGTCATTTTTCTGTGAACAGCCTGCAAACATGCAGATCTTCGTGAAGACGTTGACGGGGAAGACAATCACCCTTGAGGTGGAGCCCAGTGACACTATTGAAAATGTCAAGGCAAAGATCCAGGACAAGGAAGGTGAGCTAACACGTCTAATGTGACGTTTGTGACTTCTTGATAAATATTTGGCTGCTCAAGATGTAATTGGTCTACACCTTAAATAAAAGGGACAATTCGAGTGTGCCAGACTCTACGTTTTAATACATGAAACTGCGAATTGGTAGATATTTAGTGTCTAGAACTCTAGTGGCTGTGGTTTTGAATTAGAAACGTGGGTTCTTTGCCCTTAAGACAGTTATGGCTTAGGGTACAAGTTGAAATAGATTTGCACTCAAAATCACACATTAGACAACAAAGGTGACATAGATGGACTTGTTTGGAGAAACCTGTGAAGTGATTTAGCTTTAGATTCTGTTGTAGTTAAGGTTCATGTTAAAGTGCAGATTGGTTGACTAGTGTTGTGTTTACAGGAATTCCCCCTGATCAGCAGCGTCTGATCTTTGCTGGCAAACAGCTGGAGGATGGCCGCACACTGTCCGACTACAACATCCAGAAAGGTAACGGCTGTGTTGTTTCTGAAATTGGCAGTGGCACACAGTAGACAAGCTGCCTATTATAAAACCGTTATGAGAAAGTACTCATTAAATTTGTTTTATATCACAAATGCGCTTTGCTGCAGTTGCCAGTAGTTTGTATATAACACCATTTTGGATATGTAGCTATGGTATGGTGTCATTATTTCTGTGTTAAATTATTTTTGATTGACTTTTAAATAACCAAGGTGTGCGTCAGTTTTCCTGGTAGAGTAGGCTTTCTGTTTAAATATAAATTTGACATTAACATGATGCATTTACTGTTCACCAGAGTCTACTCTCCATCTGGTTCTGCGTCTGCGTGGTGGCATCATTGAGCCCTCACTCAGGCAACTGGCCCAGAAATACAACTGCGACAAGATGATCTGCCGCAAGTAAGTCCAGTCCTAAGTATGAAAATTTGATTATCCTCAGGCCTGCTCTTATTTCTGTTGATATACATTTTAAATATATAATTCAGTGTTGGTAGAGGACCTTATAAACTACATTCGGAGATCTTTGTATATATTTGAATTGAGAAATAATCAGGTAGATAGAATTACTTTGGTTTGGTTGCACAGTGCTTTAGTGTCACCTGAAATGGCAGTTGGGAACAGCTGACCTTAGTTTTTGGCTGAAGTGGGTTTTCTCAGGATCTTTTTCATTTCTAAACCCTGAATGTTTTTAAATTGGTACGCTGACCTTTTTGTTTTGCAGGTGCTATGCCCGTCTGCACCCCCGTGCTGTCAACTGCCGCAAGAAGAAGTGCGGACACACCAACAACCTTCGTCCCAAGAAGAAGCTGAAGTAAACATTTACAACTAAATTGGCACTTTGTGCTATTTTGTGTTAAAATAAATGTAGAAAAAAACCTGCTGCTTGTCTGATTTGTGTTATTTAATGAAAATGTAAAGGTGTGTGTTTGTTAAATTCACTTGAAAAGTGACCATAAGGCTGTGCTGGCTAAATTAACAGCCAGGAAAAAATAACCAGATTAACTGCAGTAAGGTGAAGCTGGTGTAATTGACTATTGGGATTTAACAAGAGCTCCCAATTAAGTCCTGGGATACTCGTGAAACCTGCTTCTTGGATCTGGTTTAGGATTAAACTTTAGCATCTAGTTTTGGAACAGATCTTATTTTGTGTAGTTTACAACAAAACAACGTGTCAAATGACATCAATGTTGGGCAACAAAATACGCAGCTGGTGTAGTGATTTAGAAGTTAGTGTGCAGGTTTTATCTGGCTGATGATTAAATACAAGTTTTCTCACTGGTTACTGTTCTAACCCAAGCAACATTAAGGGAATAGTGAACTTTAACTATTTCATAAATAAAAAAAGTGTAAATGTGAGGATTAACACCAGGTTTGGGGGGTTTTCATCACACAAGAACCACAGCAGTGACTTTGCATGACAGTTTTAATGTTTAAAACATTTATATACAAATCCCATACAAGCACCTGCTCTCCTCAGATTCAGTTTTTGTACCTTGTACTTCACAACACTTCAATGAGACTAACCTGAACTAAACTATTCTGAGGTATTTAGTCATACTGAAAGGTTAAATGTGTCAGAAAGCAATGAATGATGGGTAAAAGCTGACATGAGATGAAGATCAGTGTCACTCATAAATTGGCTGTTTGTCGATTCCAGTTGTGGCTTCTGTTGGACATCTTTGGTACTGCGATCTCTCAGAGCGGGCAACAGACGGTTTTTAAAAAGTCCTTATTCCACCGTATTTTCTGAGGGATCCACACTCAAGTTCAAAAATATATCCTTCAAGCATCTGATGATCTGCATTTCACAAAATGTATTGTGAGACTTTACAATAAGGGGTATCAAAGTGTATTATTAACTCTTCAGGACAGGCATATTTGAACAGAACCATAAAGTGCAGTAGTAAAACGTCGTTTATCATTGCAGCCACAGATGATGATGATGATAATAAACACCAAATCTCTAAAAAGAGACAGAAGTGCAATTTAACTCAACAAGTCCTGAAATATGAGTTGGATTACTCCTTTCATGTTATGTAGCTACACAATAATACTGCACATTAGTCGGTTTTAAGACCACTGATTATATTTTGTATCATAATCACGTGTTGTGATATGCTTAATTATCCTTA